GTTTTCTTCCGGTTCTTCCAATTGGCATTTGAGACTCAATTGTTCAAATTCAACAGCGTACCCTTCTACCGAAAGTTCGTGTTGTTGCAAATTATGTAGCCGGAGAAACATGTCTTGGCGGTAATGCATGGGTAAGAACTTCTTTTGAAGCTCTTTAGTTATCTTTGCCCACATTGTGATTCTTGATTTTCCTTCTCTCTGACGGGATCACTTTAGATTTTCCCACCACCTTTGAGTTTGATGGCGACAAGTTTGACAATGCGTTCTTGCGGAATTTCTTTATAATCAAGAATCCGTTCAATGCTGTGCAACCAATTGATGAATTCGTCTGGATCCAACCGTCATTCGAATTCTGGAAGATCAAGTCATATGCCGAAGTCATAAGCATGTCTTCTTGGTTCCTGCCGAAGGTATCTCAAAGGAATATCATCTTCTCTGCTTGATCCTTCATGATGGAAAGGATTCTTGTCAGCTTCTTCCGGTTGCGGTTCCTCAATTTATTATTGCGTTTCTCCTTGTTGACTGACTTCTACAACAGCCAACCTATCTTGTCATTTTTGGATTTCCCTTTGTAATTCTTCAATTGTTTGCTCTTGGGTATTTCTTGGAACTCCGCTTCTCGGCGGCATGGCTTCCTGTTCTCCAGGATGCAATTCCCGTGAGGAGTCCTGCCAAAACAAAACAGCAACCGGAAAAAAAAAAAAAGACTTCTAGGAAGAATTCTTGGATCTTTGCCCACATTGTGATTCTTGATTTTCCTTCTCTCTGACGGGATCACTTTAGATTTTCCCACCACCTTTGAGTTTGATGGCGACAACTTTGACAATGCATTCTTGCGGAATTTCTTTATAATCAAGAATCCGTTCAATGGTGTGCAACCAATTGATGAATTCGTCTGGATCCAACCGTCATTCAAATTCTGGAAGATCAAGTCATATGCCGAAGTCATAAGCATGTCTTCTTGGTTAATGCCGAAGGTATCTCAAAGGAATATCATCTTCTCTGCTTGATCCTTCATGATGGAAAAGGATTCTTGTCAGCTTCTTCCGGTTGCGGTTCCTCAATTTCTTATTGCGTTTCTCCTTGTTGACTGACTTCTACAACAGCCAACCTATCTTGTCATTTTTGGATTTCCCTTTGTAATTCTTCAATCGTTTGCTCTTGGGTATTTCTTGGAACTCCCCTTCTCGGCGGCATGGCTTCCTGTTCTCCGGGATGCAATTCCCGTGAGGAGTCCTGCCAAAACAAAACAGCAACCGGAAAAAAAAAGAATTCTAGGAAGAATTCTTGGCCTGGATTGCTCTGATACCAAATGGCACCGGGTGGATTGGGTGGTGCCAAACGGTCACAAAAATCAGATAAATGTTTAATCAAAACTCACAAAACAGAATAAAAGATCAGGAACTAAAAGAAAGAAAATAAATCTTTATTGATAGGCAAGAACACCACCTGGTTTGCCAAGCCAGGATACATCCATCCTTCCAAAGGAAGACAGAAATTCTGCTTACCAACTCTCTACCACTCCCCCTATGACAAGGACTCTATTTATAGACTCTATTAAGACACCACATAAGATCCCGCTGAGGAAACCTGAACCGAACGAATCCAACAACAAAGAACCGAACCGGGTGCCTGTTAACGGGCCAGCCTGGGTTCGTTGAGTGCTGGAATTACTTCATGTTTAGATCAGCAGCAGCTCCTACGTCAAACCCGCAAGCAATGTAATGAATATGGTGATTTGCTAGCTATCATACACGATGAATGTAGTAGGTCTACAAGCAAAGCAGGAAGAATGTGAAAGAGATAACTTCCTTTCAACCAATGAATGCTAATTTACAAATAAATACACAGTATTCTATCTATAAGCAACCATGCCTGATAAAGTCTATTAGAAAATAGCAACCAATGAATTGCTATGAATACAAAAGATCACAAGCAAAATATAGAGGAGCATCTAAAAGCTATGTAGCCAACGGGGGAGGCCGGGGCTAAATTTTCGGAGCCCACAATTATATATCACTAGAGCTACTCCAACCATTTCACGTATATGCTCACTTCATATCATGTCTCTAAGAGTAATGCCACTCATCCAAATGTGCATCCTCATCTCAGCAAAACTTAACTTAATATTATGCTTCTCTTTTGATGGCCAACATTCTGCGCCATAAAGCATTGTAGGTCTAACCACAATCTTATAGAATTTTCCCAAGTCCTGAATGAGAAAAAGGAAGGGTTATGTTAGGAAGTCGACAGCCGGTGTAAAACCTGTCAAAAAATCTTGACATTAATCCTTTAATACAATGCATTTTTTCTAGATACAAACAAAAACAAATCTACATAAGCTACAAATATGATGTTACATTTACTTTTTCTGTAAGCACCCACCGTCATTCATTTTAGTTTTAAGTAAAATTACAAGAGAATTTGTAGTTCTTAAATCCTAGAATTCCAAAGTCAACATAAGCATATATGTAATAGTTCGTTAGAATTTTCCATTCTATAAAGCTTAACATAGTAGAGAAGATTATAACAAGCTTTTTTATACGTATATAATAGTCAAGTTCAGTCAGCAGCTTCTAAGGCTTCTAGGGCAAATTATTGCATCCGGTCACCTGACAGAGAGATCCGTTCGGATCTCTCTCTGTCTACACTAAAAGCGCAGGTACTGTAGCACATCTGCGCTATACATGCGTTTTACTGTAGACAGAGAGAGATCCGAACGGATCTCTCAGTCAGGTGACCGAATGCAATAATTTACTGGCTTCCAGAGGTGGTATGGAATTTCAAGTTAGATATTGACGCATGCAATATTATCACCTTTCATATACACATACGATGTATATGCTTATGAAATGTTCTGTTTTTTATCTAAATGTATGCATATATGTAGTTGCTGTGTATATGAACATATATTAAATATAATATATTTATAATGTTTACATTTTAGCAGATATACAATGTCGGAGGATAGTAAGAGTGATCCAGTGATAACTATAATGAAGAAATATTTTCAAAGAATGATCAAATGATAATTATTCAATTTAATAATATAATGCTAGCAAAAATTTTTTGCTTCATGATTACTACTCACTTTACTTGGGCAAGAGGTCTTGCATGACAACGAGGCAAAGCAGAGATAAATGAGTATGGGAGTTACTTGTGGATATCCAATTAGATTTCACAATATATTCAGGATGTCACAAGTAATATTTACTGAGTTACTTTGCAAGTTTGGATCATATTGTAGGTTATATGATTCACATATAATAAATAGTAGAGAAGTTCTAAGAATTATTTTGTTCATTCTCGGTCACAATGAGTCTGTAAGAGCTATCACAGAAAGACTTCAACATTCCACAAAAACAATAAGCAGATATTTCTCTATAGGGCCATCCTTTCTAGACAAGGAATTTAAGACCAAGTCATGGGTATCCTTAATACCTAGCGGGTTTTAAGTTGTAATTCCATTGTTGTGTCTGCAGTAAAATAGTTCATGGGTCATAACTTGTTAGTACATTTAATCCCACATATTTAGGAACAAGACTGGCACTATTGGTAGTGTTATAGATCATCATTGGGCGAGTTCCCATTCTTTGGAGACTATGAGGCCCATATATCCATCAGATGGCATCCTTCCACATGGTAAGCTATTGTGCATGATATGTTTCCTTTTTATGATTTCACCGTCATTATGCTGGCCTCCATATGCATGCTTGTGTCACCCTTTGCATGATGAGTTGCCATTTTAATCCTTTTCTCCCATTGGAATAGGAAACCTTAAAAGACTGTTCATGTGGCAAAACCCAAATGAAAATGAACGAACATCCTTATTCGAGAGTATTATTGGACTCTTTATTCAAGATGTTATCAATGGGGCTTGCATATATAGGAAACTTGATTAACTATAATAAAATAAACCCTATTCAATATTATATGTTGAGAAAGAGAAATGGATACATTCAAATTATATATATATATGTTTTTTTAAGTCCATAAAGTGAACCATCTTTAATCCTTATAGATAATACAATGCCCTCTCAATGAAACACTCAAAAGACAAGTGTACATGTGACTAGTCTATCTTCCATTGATTCTCATGCTGGAGCAAAAAGGCCTACGATTATTTCCATCCTCGGGATGATGTGATCATTCCTTTGTGACTTATGACCTCATGAGTCTATCTCAAAGACCCACGTTCATCAAACGTCATGAATAAATGTTGTCACGTAGTCTATCTTCCATTGATTCTCTTGCTGGAGCAAAAAGGCCTACGATTATTTACATCCTCGGGATGATGTGATCCATTCCTTTGTGACTTATGACCTCATGAGTCTATCTCAAAGACCCACGTTCATCAAATGTCATGAATAAATGTTGTCATTGTGCAAACTAGTATCCATGTATAAGTAGAGTAAAATTATACTTGTCATCACAAAACAAGAGAAATTTTACCACTCAAAGTACTTAATAAATATGTGTTTCATAATTCTCAAGTTGAGCGTGAAAGAAATAAAAATGTTATAAATTTATGAAAATTTTAGGAGTGATAGTTCGAGGAATAATTATATTAAAGAAATAATAAGAATAGCATACTAAAGATAAGGCAGTAAAAAATAAATTTAGATAGTTTTGATGGGTATAATGCAGCTTAAAAATTACACCCATACATCAAATAGATAAAATAAATATTGAATGACTAGTGAGGAAGATGAAGGAAGATGAAGACCACAGTTAATGCGAATGAAAGACATGAAAAAAAAAAAAGTTAAGAAAATAAATTTAACACCATACACATCACTCAACAAGAATGAAAACAAAAAAAGTATTCATAAAGCCAAACACAAATAATTGGGATAAGGGTAATGTGATAATTATGATGGATAAGAAAGAAGCGAAGCCAACCACAAAAACTAATGTGCACAAGTAGACTTATAAAGTTAGAAAAATTAAAGCTTATTGATGGAAAATAGGAAATACTTCACTGATGGAGAATACTTAACCAGGTCAGCTGACTCTGAATGATCCAATAGCATTTCTTCAGTACCAATTTCAGCAATCGTAGTAGGTGAGTATCCAATCCTGTCGTCTGAACATTCAGAGTTAAACAACATTTTAAGTTGAAGACAGTAAAATCCCAAAAGAATATTAAAAAAATCAAGATTACCAGAAAAGGACCTCCTATGCCTAATCCCAGGCTTCTCCAAGTGTCTCCTTTTTAGAGCAGAATTCCTCTAATAATAATCAGAAAAAACATGAATTCAATTAGGAAGGCATGAAAGATCTTTTCTTGGAGGGATCCCCTGGAACTCATATTTCAAGCTAAGCATTTTTTTTAAAAGTTCAGTATAAAACACCATTTCACGAATTCGCTTTCGATCTTCTTCACTGAGCAAAAACTGAAGTTTCATGTGGAGAGAACCTCCATTCTTGAGAGGAAACAAATTATCCCAAAGTCCTCGTTCCAGCAACAACATTGTTTTGAATTCTGTCAAGAAAAACTACAGCAATTTTAGAACTTCAAAACTGCCTTCAAACCTTGAATGTGCAACTCTTAGTGAAACTAGAACCTGTTCTCAAAATCTCTTCTCCCTCTTCATCATGCACCATCACAGTTAGATTTTCTCGGAGAGAAACCACTGGACTGCACCATATTAAGAGAATAGAAACAACTTACAGTATATATTTCCTCTCAAGCCGTAACAAAATAAGCCTACAGCCAATGGTACTGAAATGTATTTGGGGTCTTACAAGACAGGTAAGTGTATATGATATTAAGGCAGTCAATATGCAAAGACAATTAAAACAAATATAATGTTCTGCTAGTTAAAATTTAGGCAGAATAAACAATTTGGATTAATCAAATCCTTCCAATGCGAGCTAGATGACTAAACAAGCAATGAGGTTTAGATATGTAATAGCACGTTAGATTCACGAAATATCCATATATAAAATAAAGTACACAATTAAGTTTTCCTACTTTGGTTTTTAGTTCATGAAAATTCATATATAGTCAAGCATAATTTTGATAGAACATGAATTTCAATGGAAAAAAGATGGATGGAACAGGAGTTCAACTGCACTTGATTTAGTTGAATGAATTTCTAAATGATCTCAGAATGGCACGATCAAAGCTATATAATTTTTTCATCATAACATCGAGCTCTTGGAGGCTTGAACTACTTTAAACCAAGTCAGCTTAGCCCAGATCACACCAAACTAGCCAAACCCATATGGACATATATAGTCCAAACAAAATTGAACTGATTGATCATCATCTCGTTTGAAATGTGATTGCATCAGATGTTTAACGGTAGGCAGCCAATACCTCAATCAGCGACCTCACGAATGAAAGTCGTGGACCTTCACAAACACAATTCTATCTCTTACTAATGATAATGTGATGTTGATCGCTGATGAAGCTATGTTGTTGTTCATCAATGATATATATGAAATTGCATGTTAACTATGATGTATTATCAAGTCAAAGATGCTGCCAATAATGAGACGATATTTATATAGTTGTAGACCAATTCATAGATGTTATTATTCATGTCTACAAGACTTAGAAGAGCCACTACCATAGTTATATGCCACATTCAATACAGCCACTAGTCATTCATCCGTCATTTATACTTATCGACCATTGCGACAATTGTATTTGGAGGCATTGCATTTCGTGATTCAAATGATTGGAGTAGGGCATCTATGTATGTATATCAAAACCCGTATTAACATTATTGTTGCTCCCTTGCCAGCTCTTGTTGAAAAAGTTCAGAAATGTAATTATTCGTGCATTTAAACTAATCCTTTAAATACCCTACGTAAAAACATAAAAAAGTCCTTTACAAAGAAAAAATTTCAATATAACCCTATTTAAATTGTCATAGTGAGTGCTTGATTTTACATTATTGGGGTTAGTTTGATTTATCCATTACTCGTTGTTAAAACAAATATATCGGTCGTAGCAATCGTATATTTGTTTGTTGGTTCGAACCTTGTCGACTCCTATTGATCTATATAGAAGGATCGGGTTCGAAGTTGAATTAACTTGTCAACCCGCGCAGCATCCCTAGACGTCACGTGTGTACCAATAACACGCTCGCCGGGGCCCATGCGAGTTTCAAGCATTTTATAATTAAACCCTGTCGACTCTTTTTATCTACTTAGAAGGATCGGGTTCAAATTTAATAACCCGCGTAGCATCCCTAAACGTCACGTGTGTACCAATAACACGCTCGCCGGGGCCCTTGCGGGTTGAGATTGTATTTACCCCTTTTAGTGTATCTATGTGTATACAAATTACAGTGCACGTGCAGGGGTATTTTGAAAGTACTTGTAGACGCCTTCTGTCCGCTTGCATAGAAGTTGCGGATCCGGTAGCGTGGTGTAGCAGCTTCTGGATTGAGTTGTTTACTGTTTTGTACATGTAGACTGTCGTGCACTATTCGTTGTTTTCTGCAGGTGAATCGTAGTGCACTAACTAATCTCCTGCCTTGTTGTAGATGATTACATCTGTTATAGTACTTTTGTATTTGCTTACAGACAATTTGTTGTATGTGCAATGAACTTCTTATAGCAACTCGTATGCATTTGCATTTGATGTAGTCACTTTACACTTTGCTTACGGAAAATATATTGGGAGTCAATGAGTCTTCTACAGCAACCGACAAAATTTCATATTTCTTATAATTCTACAACATTTGCTCATAGATGCCATGTCAAGTCCACGATAAGTCTTCCACGATGACTTGTAGGTACTTTCCTCTGATGCGCATCACTTGGCATTTACTTGTAGATAACAAATTCAATGTATAAATAATCATTATTCTTTTGACAGTTACATCTCATTTAACAAGAAAGCATTGAAGCATTTGTAGGAAATTGAGTAGTATTCAGTTGATGTATTGGTCCACTCATCGATTGCTATTGACAATAATCATAATCTCCTTCAAGATATTTTCTTCCCTTTGCTCATGGATCTAATGTACCTCTCATACATGTGTTGATTGTATATTTCTTGTTGCCAACTCCAAGCAATCCTCAATGTATGATATATCTTTTCCATCACATCATCATTGGACCCATGATGCGAGTAACAACATTAGTTCTATTTGTCGATTGAAAATTTGCACTTCTGTTGACATGACATCCATGACCCAATTATAACATCTACTGAAGGTCCCAGATTGTAGTTTGTAGGTAAATTGGCATGCCCTTCGTTATAGATGATTTATTATAGTCCAATGACCTCCTCCCCATATCACAACTTGTATGTAAAAACCATATTATTCATGCTTTCTTGCTATTTGCAATCACACTTGCAAATTCCTTCTCCTTTCTCGTAGCTTGATTGATTGATCATGTCAATTTGCTTTAGCTCATTTGAATGCTTTGGATCATTGATTGCCATCAAAGTTTGTAGCGACTTTGTGTGTGAGCTTTTGCTTGAAAACAAGTTGTATCACAAGCTTATTTGTTCATCGACGTTTTCTTGAGTGCACTGAAGGCTTGTCCATCATGAATCATTTTGCTTGATTGTTGATATCTATTTCAATGCTCTTTCCAAGTTGAGATTTGTTCTAAGATTCTCCGCAAATCCATTTGACATTTGCTTTAAAAATGAAATGATCCTTTCTTAATCTTTATTAGGAGCTTAGTGTTATGATTCAAATTCAAATCTCATGTTCATTTGAGTTCAAGTGGTCCACTTGTTATCTTGTAGAGTTCAAGTCTTCTTTGTAGTTCAAGTTCAAGTGGCAAGCCGAAGTTCTATGTCCCCTGTGGTCCAACTCAAGCACTTGCTTGAGTTCAAATGTCCAAAATCATATTCTTCTTCTTTTTTTTAGACTTGAGTTCATATTTATTTAGATCAATTGAATCAGGTCCACAAGTCTAATTTGTTCAAGTCCTTGTTTGTATTTCAGACAAAATTTCGGCAGCCTCCCGACGTCTCCCCCGTTTAGGGGGAAAAATCAAGAGGTCGCCTACCCGCCACGTCACTAAAGATGTGCACGGTTGGTGTTGGTGAGACACCGCGGCGGTTGTTTTTGTTTTTCTCCCACCACGCGCAATAAAGGCGTGCATGGGGTTTTAAATAACATTTTTATGAAAAGAGACAGTTTTGCTTTCCCCCCGCTCGGGGGTACTTATAAGTGACCCCGCTTCGCCATACGTGCCGCACCAGGGTCCCATTCCACCACGCGCACTAAAGGCGTGCTTGGGGCGGTTCTTCGGTTTTCCACGAATATTGAAGTAGGGTTTTGAGTTTTAGAAAAGTTCATACCTTCGCGGGGTTGACACGTGGATCGAGGGGTCACTCGCCTACCTCGCAGTAGGTGTCGCACCGGGTTCCCTCCTACCATGCTCACTAAAGACGTGCTTAGGTGGTTTGTCGGTCCGACACGAACGCCGAGGAAAGAGAGTGGAGGGGATTTTTTTTATTTTATTAATAATTAATTAGAGCTAATTATAATTAATTAATTATTTATAATTAAAGCTAATTAATAGTAATAATTATTATTATAATTATAATAAGAGAAGAATACTCCTCTCCCTTCTCTGGTTCGACCGATTGACGGGATTAGGCCAAAGAAGCGCGCGAAGGAAGAAAGTTACCTTCGAAGCAAGTGAGCTCCCGTCGTTGCTTCTGATCGAGCTGGAAGGAACGCCGGAGGAGGTGGATAGGGAAGGAGACTCACAGCTAGGGGAGAGGAGATTCTGTACAGGTAGGGCTTTGGGTTTGACGGGATAGAGGAGGATACCAACGTGGATTTTGAGCTGGAGGTCTGACGTTGGTAAGGTAAGAGCTTAATCAGGTTAGAGAGAAGTCTCTCTCTCTCTCTCTCTCTCTCTCTCTCTCTCTCTCTCTCTCTCTCTGTTCGTGGGGTTCAGAAGAAGAGGAGAAGTGACGGGTTGGGACAGAGGAGATCGGAGCTTCTCAATTGGAACGACGGGCTGTGGGGATCGCGGGTTGAAGAGCAGTGGTTTCGCGTGGAGGTTTGTGGGAGAAGAGCAATCCCCAAGGCTTTGTTTGGGTCGGTATTTAACAACGTGACTGGGAGCGGGATCAAGGACTCGTCGCACGATTTTCGCAAAAATCCCGGAATGGCACTGGATGTACAATAAATCAACGGGATTCTAGCAATCATGGATCCAATGGTTACGAGGTATGCTTTTGAGTATATTTTTTTTCTTCTTTGGGTATAACGTTAAGGTCAACAAATGCCCCCCAACAAATGTGGTTCGCGTCCAGAGCGAATCACGTTTATTGTAAGCTGTTTGTCCTTGTGGATCTCTAGATATTTATTCTAGATGTCACACTAAGACTTTCATTTAGTGGATCTCCAAAATTTCAGTTGGATGTCACACTAAGATTTTCTTTTAGTGGATCTCCAAAATTTGTTTGAATGTCACACTAACCTTTCTTTCTTCTTGACTCTTTTAGATGTATCCATAGATGGTTGAGATACTGATTCATTTTGTCCTGTGCTTTGTGCTGCGAACATTGATGGAGAATTACCCTATTTGTCATTATTGACTTGTTAGGTGATTTTTGTGCTCCTTCGGCCCTATGCTTCTTGTTTTGGCGGACTTGATGAAGGAGTAGATGCCGGTGACCTAAATCCTTTAGGTTTGTATTAG